ACAAGCCCACTAAAGAAAGCATTAATAAAAGTCCATAATACACAATTGGCTGATGTCCTCATCAATCCATATGGCCATTTTCCGCATATGTTATTACGTATCTGTCCAGAAATCAAGTATTAACACTAACCATATTGTATTCATTTAGCATATTTTGACTATGCTTTTTCGATTCATTTGTCTCTAATTTTTGTTGGATGTTCACCTTGTTTTAATCTCATGAATGGATTTGGTATGTCTGAATTTAATATATGCATTAAAGCAATTTCTTTTTTCCTTTTTATTTTATTTTTGGATAACTAATTAGAATTAGAAACCATTTCAAGTTATGGAACACAAGTATGCAGCTTCAATTACGTAATTCAAAAATATTTTTCCCTTAATTTGCTTACATGTTGTTGATACAATTTCCAATCTTGTGTCAATTTATGTTTTTTTGAAGTTCTTAAGATGATGTAAGAATTTCCAAATAGAGAAGGAATCATAGCCCATTTCTAGCCCCTTGTCCATATGCAATGCTCTCATCTTGGTTCTCATGTGACGTGCAGTAAGCCAGCATTTCTTGGGCAATAATTCTATTTTCAGAAGCATGAATCCAGCACTGAACACAACATCTCCAGAATTGAAACTGGCTTTGACGGGAAGTGCTAAAGGAGGTACAATTGGACCGCCTCTTGGTATTATTGACATAGGAGAAAGTGAAAGTGGATACCTTTTCCGAGTTGCCCTTCCGGGTGTGAAAAGTAGTAAGTTTCATATTCTTTTTTTCTCTTGTCATGCATGCATAATCTACGTACCAAGTTAGAAAGCTTTCCAAATTCAAATGCAAAAGCAAGTCTTGTATGGCGTGTTTGGTAGGGAGAATTGATAATACTAGTAGCAATAAAGAAAAAAAGCTAATTTGTTTATTATAACATCTAGTCCTACTCAGTAATTGTATGAACTTAGCACGTATGGCCTTCACATATATCCAAAAAGCACACTGCTTATGGCTTGGAAAAATATTTTTTGGAAACTTCATCAGTGGCATAAAGCAAACTGTCATGATTAATGGTCTTGAAAATTTTGAACGTTCATGGAGCTGATTTCCTCATGGAATGCTTGTTAAAAGGGAAAGGGCTAGATGACCTAATTGACAATAGTTTTCATGACAGGTAATTTGAAGTGTGATATACACACAGACGGAAGTGTGCGCATTGAGGGATTTGTATCAGATGCTCAAAATTTAAAGTATGAATGGAAGAACTATGAAATGAAACTACAAAATCTCTGCCCAGCTGGCCCTTTCACCATATCTTTTAATTTGCCTGGAACAGTGGACCCCAGATTATTTTCCCCATGTTTTCGACCAGATGGTATCCTGGAGGTTGTGGTACTAAAATCAAGAGCTTCTCCTGTGTCATCTTAAGGCTCTTGAAAAGTGGTATGATAGCTTGTAGACACATTAATAAGTTCTCAAAGATTTCTTAATTTAATTTTTGTTAGCAAACTAAACTGTTACAAGACTAGCAGTTTCACTCTGCTTTTAATGGAAGGTGTTTCCATTGAATCGTACTCAATATTGCTGTTTGCTTTTGAGCACCAAATGGTGCAATGATTGTTGTTTCTTTGGCTTCATCTTCAATCTGATCTAGGAGTCACGTATAATCTTTTTGTACTTTAATTATGTAGTTCATAATCTTTAAAAGTTGGGTTAGATCTGTCTATAGTAATTTAGGTAATGAAATCAAATAAAGATGGAACATTGGCAAATTCTCGAAGTCTTGACATGGTGGCTGAACTTGTCCAGGAAATCTGATTTCCTGGAATTGTCTAATGGAATGTTCTCCATTTACTACATTTTTGTCAAAAGATAAGACAAATATAAGAGAGAAATTTTCTTGCTTTTGTAATCTATACTTTCGGTAAAGTGAATAAATCCCATGGAGAATTTGGCTACATTTGAGCTAGTAAGTAGAACTAGCTCCTTTCTTTACTTGAACTTTAAGGAGTAAATATTGAGGGTAACTTAGGGAAAGATTCTTTTGAAGAATACAGCAACTAACTATGGCTCTTGGCCCAAACAACGTCCTAGGTGTAGGGGAGATCTTTAAATGCATATTTGGTACACAATTACAAGGATTTAGCTTCTCTCTCTCTCTCTCTCACTTTTTCTTACAATATTATCTAATCCTCCATATTAAACATGCCATAACTACTTTCCACCATGACATGGAAGAGCTTGACACTTCATGTTACGTAAATTATGTGTTGAACATGAGATATATCAGTATCACATTTCAGGTTTCTTCTTGGTAGAATCTTTTACACCAGATCTGATGTAATCGTGACTTAATTCATGTACTTGTAGGACCATTTAAAGATAGATTAGGGGTTGATCGAGACTCATTGTCGCAAGGGATTAGTCAGATGGTCTTATTGGGAAAACTTGGCTTCTATTTTTATTTAAATTAGTTAATTTTCTTATGTTTTTAACTTAAAGACTTACAAGTTATTTTTTATGAGATTAGGTACTAAAATCCAATAATGACTAGAGGTTTCATTAGGTTTTGCTTAAATGAGTCACACACAATGATTGTGAGAGTTTTTTGCTTTGAAAATAAAATGTGCTAGAAGTTTTTCTGCAAATTTTTCCTAATTCTCGGTATTCAAGGATAGCAATGGGCTTAATAGTATTCTTCTTCCTCATTATGTCAGCTGCATCATCTCATAATCAATGTGTTTTTCATCGTGTTCATCATTTCTGTTTATTAGTTTAGTATGAGCTATGATGCTCGGACTCGGGTGTGGGTATCGGGTACTAGTACGTATCAAAGTGTCGGATATTTTATTTTCTAAAATGTAGGATATGTGGACATAGCTAAAAAAAGTCTAAATTTCGGATACGGGTACGTGAGTATGTCTTTCAAACTTCAATTTTTTGCTAATCCAAGATTTCATTTTGAATAGATCAAAAAATAGAAAATGAGGGACTTGATTGCAATTTGAACTAAGTGGAA